TGAGCTGAACTTGAACTATACATAGTTCGACTCGTTAGGTTCATGAGTCAACTCGATTACATATGAAAAGAATTATACTGTCTTTAAGATTAGGTTTAAATATTTACTTCAAATCTTAGACAAATTTAATCTTCAATTTAGTAGTTTTTGAGTTAGACTCTCAAATGTATCTCTTGAAAGTTGTGTAGGTTTTGAATTAGTAGATTTCGAAGATAAAGTTAAATATCAATATGATAACTTTTATTTTATTTTAATATTTTATTTAAAAAATATATATTTATTTAAAATGTCAAATATACTAAAAAATATATATATTTTAAAAAATAGTTTTTAAGTTCGTGAACCATGTGAGCTGAACCTAATGAGATGAACCTAACGAGTCGAATCGAACTGTTCGTGAACTTATAACGAGTCGAGTTTGAGCTTAAAAAAAAGTTCGTGTCGAACTCGAACTCGAACTCGAATTCGAACAATTCTTAACGAGTCGAGCCGAGCTGAGGTGAGTTCGACTCGACTCGACTCATTTCCAGCCCTACATAAAGGACAAAAGATATTAAGATTAAACTAATCTAACTCCTCTAAAATCCTACGACTCATCCAGTTTCCCCAATCAATATCAGGCTCATCCTTATCCTCGCAATCGGAGATAATTATCTGAAACGCCATTCTATCTTTGTTCTTCTTTTTTTTCTTCCTCTTCATTGACTTCTTTTTAAGTTTCAGAAGGCTTCATTACTGTTGATGGTGAACCCTCCTCAAAAGACTTCAAGAGAGTAGATGATGATCCAATTTCAAAAGCTTCAAAAGTGACACATTTCTAAAGAATCTGTGTCTCCAGACTAGTAGTATCTTCTGAATTTTTTGTTATGACAAAAATGTTGGTTGCTCTCAGATGTTGCTTTCATGATTGCTCTAAAGGACGTTGATGAAAATGACTTATGGTTCGGTTGCTTTTATAGTGGCGTCTGGGTAACCTAAACGATGGAAATCTTTTTCTTAATCCTTGAAACTGTTACGGCCAATAACTATTAAAGATGCATTGTACAAGCTTTTAATGCTCTCTACTACTTGAATTGTTTTGTCTTCTTTGAAAACCGATCATGTAATGATGATCTTCTTTGCATTTATAAATGTATTTCTTTCGTTATTTTATCTTTTTGATGTGACAAGAGAGAGAGAGAGAGAGAGAGAGAGAGAGAGAGAGAGAGAGAGAGAGAGAGAGAGAGAGAGAGAGAGAGAGAGAGAGAGAGAGAGAGAGAGAAAGAGAGAAGTATTTAATAAAGAATCTGAACTCATTCAGTTTTAATGTTGTTTATTTAAAATTTTATTATTTTGGTTATTATCTGGGAAAAATATTTTAGTTTTCTGGATAGTAGAACTTAGTTGGAGTTTATAGACTCAGAGGGAGCATACAAACCTCAGACTCTGATGTTGCCAAATAAATTAAAATATATTTTAATTTTCTTGTATATAGAACTAAAGGGGAGATTACAAACCTCAATCTTGGACTATTAGACTCAAAGGGGGCTTACAAACCTCAAACTCTGATGTTGTTAAGAAAATTAAAATAGCCCAACATTGACATATTTTAGTTTTCTTGAATATAAAACTTAGGGGGAGCTTACAAAACTCAACCTTTGACTATTAGACTCAGGGGAAGCTTACAAACCTCATACCCTGACGTTGTCAAGAAAATTAAAATAGTCCAACATTATTCTTTAGATACTTATGTTTGTCGTCATCAAAAAGGGAGAAATTGTTTGAACAAAATGTGTTCATGACATATATCCTTTGGATTTTGATGATAACAAAGTATTGAAAGAACAATGGTGTTATCTAATGTGTGTTCTAAATGTGTAGGTTCTAAAGTTTAAAGAAGATTATATTTATAATCTGATATAAGGACGCACTTGAGAGAAGTTAAGTTACTGGCTTCTGGTGGTTCAGAATCTGAAGAATGTTCTTTAAGTGAAGATTGATAATATAGGTTTGCATAGACTATGAAGCTGAAGGCCTCAGCATCAGAAGAGAAATATATTGTCTCTAAACTTATTGAACGTACCAGCTTCTGGTGATCATTTAAAACCAATGATAAAGCTAAGTTATCTGTACCGCATAAAGCAAGTTACAATGTCAAGTCAGTTTGTCAGCTAGAGTCTGTGTTCACAATGCTCAAGAACAGTTGACACGCTTTATGAATATCTACTCTCAACGAATCTATAGTACAGGACCACATGAAAGACACAATGGTTAAACAAGTTACATAATGAATCAAGATCTTTTAGTGTATCTATCTTCAACGTCTCTTATACTATGGAGTAACAAAAACACTTGTACACGTTATCTCTTTCAACGGCTATTCTTCTGAAACTTCTATATAAGTAGCTAAAGATCCAAGATGGATTTTCAACAAGGAACAAGGAGAATAAATAAGAAAAACCAAGAAGGATAGAAACGTCAGAATGGAAGAATAACAAGATCAACAATAGCAACACGATCGAGTATGCAGAATTTCTGTTATAAGTTGTAAATTGTACAAAGCCTTACGATTTCTTAAACATTGAATATCTTAGAAATTTTAAGTGATGTGATCTTTGTTATGGTTATTTCCTTGTACCTATGATTATGTATCAAGTACACCTTGTTCTCTATTCTGTTAAACAAGTTATTTAGTAGTTTAGATAAAGTCTCTTGTTATGTGTTTGAGCATCATATTCTCTTGCTGTGAAGCTTGAGTCAAGTAAGTCTCATGTTATGTGTTAAAGCATTGAAGTCTTAATCAATTGTTGATTAAGTAAGAAAGTCTTGGACTGTGGTTCTAAGCATAAGTCTTGAGCCTGGAGGGCTTGAGTAAGGAAGTCGTAATTAGTGAGATTTAAGCTGGAAGTCTTGGACTATAGGTCTAAGCAGAAGACTTGGATCGTGGAATCTGATCAGGGAAGTCTTGGACTAATGGTCTGAGTAGAAGTTTTGAACCTGAGGGATTTAAGCAAAAAAGTTTTGGATTCGTGGAATCTAAGCAAGAAGTCTTGGGATGAGGGTCTAAGTAAGAAGTCTCGGGCTGAGAGTCTGAGCAGAAAAGTCTTATGATTAAGTGCATAAGCGATTGTAATCATGTTTTGATTATAGTGGAAAATCTCCAGTGTTACAATGAGACTTGGCTACTTTCAGTTTGGGAGAAACCAATATCAATCTCTGTGTGTTTTGTTATTATTTATTTGCTTCTATTATTATTCCGCTGCAATTAATTATCAGAATCTGAACAGTGATTTAGAATCTGAACTCTGTCCAGAAGCAAAATAAAAAAACAGAAAATATAATTCAACTCTCTTTTTGTGTATTTTTCTCACCTTCACACCTAACACAACTTACTTTAATATTAATATTTATGTATTCAAACATAAATATTACAAAATAAAATTAATTTTACAAAATCAATCTTTTTTTTTATAATTTTTTTTTGCTATTATAAAATTGCAATTTTAATATTAAAAAATATACAAATTAATTTTTAGATATTTAAAGAAAAGCTTGACTTGTTTTGTGTTAGTTTACCATAATAAAACAACTTCTATCAAAATTGATTTAAATTTGAAATTGATTTTTAATAAAATATTTTAAAAGAACTTTTTATTCAAAATACTTTTTATTAAAAGGCTTAAATGCACTTTTAGTTTTCATATTTACAAATTTTTAACGATTTATTCCCCCTTTTAATTTTTTCAGTCTTTTAGTCTCTCAAGTTGTCACATTTTGGGATTTTTTAGTTCCCCTCTTGTTTTGATTATGTGGCGCTCAAAATGGTGATTGGGCATGGTAAGTCAGATGCTATGTCATTTAAATAGTTGGCATGCCATTTATAAATTTTAATAAAACATTAATTTTTTAAAAAATAAAAATTAATGTTAGACAATCTACATAATGAAGAAACCTAATTTTATTGTGTTTATCCCTTTATTCATCTCCAGAAATTCTGCTACTACTCCTTCTCCTCCATGTCTTATACTTCATCTTCTCCGCATCTTCTACCTTGTCTTGCCCATGTCTGTTATTTCCCAAGCAAGCAGTCGCATAAAGTCCCATTCGAACTTCAAGTCAAACCATGGTGAATGTGTGCGGCCTAGAAGCACCACTGATGACATCATGGACTGGTTCTAACCTAGGGCAACGCTTTTATGGTTGTGGGATGTATAAGGTATTATTTGTCTATGATTTATCACTTCTACTTTCTCCAATCATGAAAATATCTTACGTTTTTTTCCTCAGATGTTGTCTGTAGCTTGTGGGACAAAAGAGGTGTGGCCATTTTGTTTGGTATGACGAAGAGATGACCCCAAGAGTAAAAGAAATGATTACATCTTTAAAGGAAAAATTATGCTCATAGCAGAATAAGGTTAATGAATGCAGGGTCAAAGAGGATGAGTTAAAGATGAAGATTAAGTTCCTTAATATGCAACTGAAGTTAACATGTGTTATGATCTTTGTGATGTTATTATGTCTAGTTGTAAAAAGTGTAATGAAGTAGGTTGTGGTTAAAAAATGGTGTTGTATGTTTATGGTTTAGTTGTAACAAGTGTAATGAATCTGACTGTATGAATGTAACCCATGAATTGATGAATGAAAATGATGATTTTTGGTTTAATATGTTTATGGTTTATATGGTATCTTGGTTATATGGTTTTTATAGTAGATGCTGCTTATAGGACATGTTCCAATTTGCTTACAGATTGTACATTATATGTGAATTACTTCATAGAGATATCATTAAAGTCATTACATATACAATAACTTGTTCCAATACATGGACAACAAACTGATTACAAACTAATTACAAATTGATTACAAAATGACACAAACTACAAAATGTCATAAAACCTAACTATTACAAACTGACATGAAACACATAGAACCTAATTTGAACTAATCTTAAGAAGGTTGAGGTGCTTGTGATGAGTTCCCAATTTCTGTTACAGCTGCCTTTGTCTTCTTTCCATCCTTTTTTAAAGTTTCTGTCTCTTTCTATCCTTTGATGCATTGCCCTTCTTTTTGTTACCACCTTTGAGAATGACTTTCTCAGCAGCCCTTTTTCCTTTGCAACTCCTTTTGTTGTGTCCCATGGCACCACATTTATGATAGCTCAGAGTTGTAAGCTTCCTAGGAAGTACATGTGGATTTCTTGGTTCATCATTCACTTTGTTCCTCAGCTTCTTGGGTCGACCAATGGCCCTTCTGAGCACTGGTGGTTCGATGGGTACCTGACCCTCTAACAAAGGCCATAGTTGGGCCCCATTTGTAGAGTAGATTATATGTGAATAACTGTTATTGAAAAAAGACTTCCTGCATAACCAATTCAAACATATCTCAGCAGAAATTTAGTCATACTAAGCAAACATAATAAGCAGATTTATATGGTGAATGTACAAACCTGTAATACTCAAAGACACAATCTTCAGGTTTTTTCTTGTTTTGCCATATACATGATATGGCATGACTACATGGAATACCAGTCAAATCCCATTTTCTGCAAGCATATGTCTGTTGTTTCAGATCTACTGAGTATGTCTCTATGCCATTGGTGACACTAAAGATGGACAAATCATCATCACCATGCCATGTGGGTGTCCAATCTTCTGCATGTTTTTTGTTCTTTTCAAGAAGCAATTGAATTCTAGGGCAAATATCACAAGTGTATGTATTCATAAGCTCCTTTTGACTAGTAAACCTCTTAGTCAAGTAGTGTTTAATACCCTTCAATAAAGTGATTATAGGTTTATCCCTACACTTTAGAATTGTCCAATTGAAGGCCTCACACATATTATTAACTTATATATCACACTTAGATTATGTTTTGAAATGTGACCTGGTCCATAAGTGAGCATGGATGTCCAACATATCCTTCCAAGCTGCTTCCTTCAAAGATTTTAATCGTTGCATTGCCCTCTCCCATACTGAAATGGTTGTAGCTCTTACAACACTCCACGTTGCCTCTTTCGATTCAAGTCCTGGATGTTTCTTTTTCCAATTTCCATAGAGATGCTTCACACATGGTTTTTGCTCCACATGTTCACTTACACTTTGAACAACTGTTACTAAACCTTACATAAAATGATAATTATGATATGCAATAATAATATGACATTACAATATTATTAAATGAATATCAAAATGAATATGTAAGGGATACCTTTTGCTCATCAGAAATGAAGGCATAAGTCATGTGCTTGATTTCACATAAGTCTTTAAGTAGAAGGTATATGAACCACTCCCAAGATGCTCTTGTCTCTGTTTCCATAATAGCATATGCAATAGGAAAAATCTGATTGTTTCCATCCCTGCCTATGGCTGCCATCAATTGTCCACCAAAGTCACCTTTCAAAAACAAGTATCTAACCCTATAAGTGGCCTATAGTATTTGGAAAATCCATACTTGCAGGCCTCCAAACAAATATATATCCTTCCAAACATAGGTCTTTTCTTAGAGTCAACACACTGCACCAGAACTGTACTATTGGGGTTGGATAAGCAGCTCTTCAACATAACTTCTCAAATGTGAATATTGATCAATTCCAGCTCCTTGAATCATATCCATTGACCTCCTTTTGGCTCTATATGCTTGAACATAGGACAATTTCACTTCCCACCTGTCAAATGACTCAGCAATCAAACCCACAGGTTTCATATTAGGGCTATGTCTTAAAACATTTGTAAATTTCTTAGCTAGCCAACCTGTTTTTGCCTGCCTATTCTTAGGTGTTCTACAACAACTATGTTCATCTATAAGACTAACAACTTGCCAAAATTGATTACCAACTCTTTTACTAAGTCTCATGTAGAAATTACAACCTTCCATACACTTAACTACTATACTCTTGGCATCATTTTTCTTAATGAAGATATTTTTCTTCATATCCATTGCATACTCCTTTACAACCTCTCTCACTAAATCTATGTTGTTAAAAACCATACCTAGTTGAAATTTTAATCCTTCACCACTTCTATAAGTTGGGACATTCTAATTTTCTTTATCATCCCCACTATCAGGAGGTGTATGTAGCTGATCAGAGTCATCATCACCATCTTGACACACTGCCTTAGCAGCTTGACACACATCTTCACAACCTTGTAGCACTATGGTCCAATCCACATTGATTGAATCAGTGTCATCCTCACTTGTAACATAATCATCCTCACCTTCACTTGCAACATATTCATTGTCACTTTCACTTAATGAATCATTGCCATTATCATTCACATTATCATGTTCCTTTCCATTCACATTATCATCCTTCTTTTCTATTACAGCATCCACATTCTCATGTTCATTTCCCTCCACATATTCATGTTCATTTCCCTCCACATTCTCATCTTCCTTAGAGTCAGCATCTTCATTTCCCTCCACATTCTCATCTTCATTTCCCTCCACATCTTCGTTTCCCTCCATATTCTCATCTTCATTTCCCTCCATATTCTCATCTTCATTTCCCTCCACATTCTCATCTTTCTTTCCTAACTCAGCCTCATCTATAATATCTGGAGTACAAACTAAGTGCTCTACACACACATCTACAACATCATAATCCTTAACATCAGCAACAAATTTCAGCACATCTTGATCAAAATTTAGGGGTCTAAGGCCACGCGAAAAAACTATACTTGGGGTTCTAATACCATAAACAATTAATATTGGTATATCCCTCATTGTAAATCAACTCTCTCAATTGCATATACGACATATAATATAGATTCCATTCCCAATTCATTTCAGAAATTACCCCATTAACATACCACTTCACAGGTTCAAACACTAACTTTCCCCTAAGATGAAATCGTATCCTAATGCCTTGCTTTTGACTTGGTTTGTAATAGAAACAAGGGTTCAGAATAAACATCAATATTGGATATCACATTCATAATAAACCCTAATTTAGTCTAAATAACATTATTTGGTCCAACATTCGGAATAAACTAACATTTTTTAGGACCCACATTCAGAATAAAGAAAACGAAGAAGGAATTACATTATGAGTAAAGAAAACGAAGAAGGGGCCATAAACTATAATTCCAGTAAAAGAAGTTTCACTTACCTCATACAATATTTCACTTCTTCCTTACTATTCATTCTTCCTTGCTCTTTACATCCCATGGTGTCTTCGAAATTCGTTCGCAAATTGTTGATGAGGTTATGGAAGCAGTTGAAGAAATTATGGGAATTATGGAAGCAACTGAAGAAATTATGTCTCTTTGATATATAAACACAACCCAAATTTGTTTAGCGGTTTAAAAATAATGAAAGTATAAATTTCATATTATGTCATTAACTTAACAATTATTTAAATGACATGGCATCTGACTTACCATGCTCAATCACCATTTTGAGGGCCACATAATCAAAACAGGAAGGAGATTAAAAAAAATTCCAAAATGTGACAACTCAAGGAACTAAAAAGCTAAAAAAATTAAAAGGATGATTAAAACGTTAAAACTTTGTAAATAGGAGGACTAAAAGTACAATTAAGTCTTATTAATATTTACCAATAACCAAAATTGATTTTTTTTTTATAAAATATTAAAGAAAAACTTTTCATCTAAAATATTTTTCACATTTTTTCAAGTTCTATTTAAAAAAAATAAAATTGGTAACAAACAAAATAAAACTTCAAAAAAGGCAATTAATTGATTTTAATAAAATGATTTTTTAAATAAAAAGTATAAAAATTGCTTAAAACAAAATTAATTTTCAGCATTTTTGAACCAAATAGAAAATTCAGTAACGCAAAAGCGCTTTTAAGTAAAATCAAATAAGCAGCTGAATCACAATCACTTTCAACCAAAAAAACTTGTACGTGAACAAAAATGGGGAAAAGACATGTTGCGGACCCTCCGAACCTGAAGAAATACGGCGTTCCGTTATACTCCGTTGCTTGGGTACCCCGCAACACTCTCAAGTCGATCCAAAATGTAACCGCCGATGATTCCTCCGACGCCGATCCTAAATCTCCGCCGGAGGCATCACCACTTGACGATGAGAACTACCTCGTGCTTGCCGGCGGCGGCGGTGAAAGCCGAAGCGGTATCCCTAATTCTGTTTTGCTCGCGCACTTCGATGTTGCTTCTAATTCTCTCTCTGATCAACCGGTACATCTTATATTCCTTTTGCTTCTCTCTTGCTTGCTTGTGAAATTTATATGGATTTGATTTGATTTGATTCAGTAGCGAAAAAGTCTTAGTCGATAGATTGGTAGAATCTGATCTTATTTTGAATAGAATTTGACTCGTTCTTGTTTGTGTTATACAATTTGAGGAATCTGTGATCGATGCTTGGAAGTTTGCTCTGTATGGTTCATTTCATATTTTGTTGAGGGGGGATTTGTTTGAATTGCGTAAACGGTGTCTTTTACTGCATAAAGATTCATGACGTTTATGATACTGTAGTCTCTTGTCTGAGTAACTTCATAAATATTTCAGGTGAATAAGCTAGGAACTAACTCTGAGTGTCCTTATAGAATGACACCTCACCCCAATGGAGATGGCGTTATTTGTGCAATGGAAACGCCAATGATTTGCAGGTCTTTTGGTTTTCATCTCTTCTTTTCGTTTCATTGACATTGGTCATTTTATTAACTAGAAATCCAGCTGGAATTAATTTATCCGTTCAATGTTAATGTTTTATATTTCAAATGAGAGAGAGAAGCCAGACTTGTTTGAGCATACTTTTAAGATGTACTTGGGTTGACCAGATGGAAAATGGAAGCACTTTTCATCTGAATTTTATCATGTTCCTATGCTTTTCCTTTTTCCGCCTACTCAACCAAGTTATCAGAAATGCGGATCAAGAAAGAAAAGTTGGATCATGAGTTCAATTGTTTTAGATTTGTATGATTTATGATCCAAAAACCAGAAGAATTGTAAGCTGTCTAGTATGTTAAGGAACTGCATATGATCTGTATATTTTGATTATATATCCAAAATGTATCCTTTTTTAAGTTGACTCTCTAGGCTGGGACACACTTCAATATCTTTCAATAGTTATTTATAGTTTATTAGCTGCAAATGAGTTGAAGTAATTCAATCACTTGGTTCTACGACTCTATCTTTAGAAACTTTCACTCAAAAATATTATCTGCTGCACTATACTATAGGATATAAGATTGAATTGGATAACTATAAAGCGCATAGACTGCATAGTATTTTAATAATTCCAGCCATGGTGTGTGGTGTTGGTGTAAGATGTTTGATAACTATATTTTGATGTAGCTAGCATCAGTAAGAAGTTGAATTGACAAATCAGCATGCATTAATTTTCTGGAAAGTAGTTATCAACAATCTAATCTAATTAACTAATTTGAAATAAATCCTAAATATAAATAGTTTTAAGAATTCACTGTTTATTCATAAAAGGCCGTTTCATTGTTGAAGAGTTGTTTAATTTAGAGCAATATTAGTAGTATTGTTTGATGTGCAAAAATATCTGGAAAAAGGTTCTTTCTTTCTACATTTCTTTTCCTTCTTTGTTGGGGAAAAGGTTCTTTCTTTCTACATTTCTTTTCCTTCTTTGTTGGGGAAGTCCGGGGAGCGAGGTCCGGAAGTGTTAAAGGGACAAACGTTTATGGTTCCAAGAGGCCTTGACACCGCATATTCACCCAAAACCTTAAGGCAATGGGAGTATGGGTCATCTATCTTATAAACCCAACATTTCCTCAATTCTTACTCGATGTGGAACTTTACACTTTCACACTTGAAACCCAAGGCAATGGGGGTATGAGTCACCTATCTTATAACCCAACATTTCCTTAATTCTTAACAATCTCCCCCACAAGTGAGTCACCCACATCACTAGCCTTGATCCACACTAGGATCCACTTCCGCTCCCCCATCGAGCCAACCAGGACTCTGATACCACTTGTTGGGAAAGTTCGGGAAGCAAGGTCCGGAAGTGTTAATGGGACAAACGTTCATGGTTCCAAGAGGCTTTGATGCCACATATCCACCCAAAACCTTAAGGCAATGGGGGTATGGACCAACTCTCTTATAAACCCAACATTTCCTCCATTCCTAGTCGATGTGAGACTTTACACTTTCACACTTGAAACCCAACATTCTTGTCAATTGTTTTTAGAGGGTTGGCTGCTGGATTTTTGGTGTGTCCCATTGTAAAATTTCCAGAACATGTCCTAGTGCTGCCACTAACTAAATTAAAGCATGGATTTACTAGATTCTAGGAGGAAATACAATACAACGAGGGCAGTTAAGGTCATTGCATTAGTCCATAATACTGTATTGATACTCTAGACCAACGGAAGAGTGATATTCTTTTGCACTGTTACAACTAATTGTAGAACATCATGATCGATAACATATTGTGCCTTGAGCATGCAGGTGGTTTGACTGGGATCGAAATGAGAGTGCTGAAGTTCACAAGTTGGGTCTGAAGTTTTCAGAGAAAGTGCTCACCCAGTTGGATAATGTTGGGCTACAATTGGCATTGGCATTCAGCAATGATGGTACTACACTAGCTACTGGTGGAGAGGTATTGGCTTCCTTTACATTTATATAATGAAGAGAAACTGTTTGCTAACACTGATAATAAATTTTAGTAACAGAAGTAAAAAGATGTTTTATGGAAATTATCTCCACTCATTAATTATTATTATACTCTTTGTTCAACTAAGGAATGTTTTTGGTAGAGATTAAGATCCAAGGTATTGTTTTTTGTTGTTCATACAAACCATTACGGTGTGGAATCTCTTATAAAAAAGAATTGATGTAAGTAGGCAGTACTAGTATCACAAGGTCAGTTTAAGACATGCACTTAATAGGAGAATTACTTGAGTATTACTTTAGTATATGAAAAGTTAATCCAGGTTATAACGGTAAGCCCAGTTTATTTGTAATAGATGTAATCATGTAACCATTTGTTTGGCTGCTGACCTAGTGGGAAAAGGCTTTGGTTGTTGTTGTAATAACCATTTGTTTGTCCATAGTACAAATATTATTTCCCTGCTATGAAGCACGGACACCCCGAACACGACCCCGACACTGACACAACGACACCGGTAATAATTTGAAAAAATGAATAAGTTAAACGTAATCACATGTGTCAGTGCAGGTGTCCGAACGGACACGGACAAGCATTTCTTTAGAGGTGTCAGTGCTATGTAGTTTCCCTATATCTATTGACATAAACCTGAAAACATTGGTCTTAAGATCCAGCCTAAATGGTGGCAATTGACAAGGACAAAATTGTTTTACCAACATACATATATTTGTAGATTATTTATGTTTTTGCAGGATTGGCATGCCATATGATATTGTATTTTTGTGCAGTACAGGATGGAAGTCTAAGGGTTTTCAAGTGGCCTAGCATGGAAAATATTCTCAAGGAGTCTAATGCTCATTCGACTGTGAAGGACTTGCACTTCAGGTTTGATGCGCATTGTAGCATAAGCATTTCACATAATAAATACTTTTTGACTTCATAAATCAGAAGGAAATGAAGAATAAGTTAAGATAAGAGATTGAGGGCCACTGTAAACCCTGATATTTCTGATGGATTGTAGCTTAGTCTGGTTTTTCTCTCGCAGTTCTGATGGCAAGTTAATTGTTTCTTTGGGAGGTGGTGGCCCCTGCAAAGTTTGGGACATTTCTTCAGAAATAGTCTTGGCTACTCTAACAAATGAAAATGTGAGCAATTGGTTAAAACCTCATTACTGGATACATTTCTTTTTGGTTTGATGGTTTTTTATATATTGTTTGAAATTATCTTTTCCTTAAGATTAATTGCTTGAGATTTTTCTTCCATGAATTGCACTCAATTAAAACAGACATCAATTTTATATATTCGGATTACGTTCCAAACACAATCATGTTGAAGTATTGGGAAGTGTCTTATATGCTTCTTAACTAGAGATTAATTCTAAAAATCATGAAGAACGACCCAACATTTATAATAAAGTAAAATCTTACATATAACCTCTAGTTGAGAAAATTATAGCTCCTGGTGGCCTCAATATAATTCCTGTGTTTTTTGTGTCGGTGATTGCTTTGTCATAAATTTTATATTATATATATTCTAATCATATTTTGTTGAACTTCATACAGCGTGAAAATTTTAGCTCTTGCAGGTTTTCTCAAATAAATGATACAACTCAAGTCCTATATATCGCTGCCAAAACAGGTATATATTTTGAAGAAAAAATCATCATCTTTTTGTTTTTATTTATTTATCTAACAACATTTAATTGTTTTGTATAGATAAAGGTGGAAGCATCCTGACCTGGAATACACAAACATGGGAAAGGATTAGTTCAAAGTATATTTCGCGTGATGTAATATCTGCATTCAATGTCTCAGCTGATGGAAAGTTTCTTGCATGGTACATATGTATTCTCTATACTTCTAGTACTTAAGACGGCACCCTTGTCTTTAGCTTTAGCTACCTGGAAGCAGGCGGTGACTTGATTTTTGCGGTCTACCTTTAGATCTCAAGGGTGCATTTTTACAAAAACTTATATCTTTTATTTTGGTGGGTTGACATGCAGTGGAACATCAGAAGGTGAGATTATAATTGTAAATTCAACTAATATGCATATTCAGACAAAGATAAAAGAGGCTCACCTTGGCATAATCACTGCTTTAGCATTTTCCCCTGATTCAAGGTTTGGAGTGAATATTTTTTTCCAGCCAAAATTTACTGTTTATGCCCTGTTTGAAGGTATTTTAATCATAATCATGGATTCTGTATTCAGGGCATTGGCTTCTGTATCATTGGATTCAAGTGCAAGGGTAACAATAATTGAAGAGAAGAAAAATGGTATGTGCATATTTCTTGATTTGTTGACTTGATAAGGCTATAATTCATGTTATTGATTTACAGCTTTATAAATGTTTTGCACATCTCTTAATAATTGGTGTAGTACTTCTTACCTATCGGCATGTTGATTTAATAAACCTGGAATATTAGTGCCCGAATTTTGTTGAATGACCAAACATTTCTAGTAAGTTATTATGCACTCACTTTGCTTGCGATGAATATTACCTGGTTCCTGAACATGGTCATGATTTAGAGTGTTTGAGTTCCAAAAAATGTTAAGACGCATGTAAGTTATTGGGCAACTTTTGGTGGACAATGGAAGGTGGAGTTAGGGGAAGGGAGGTTTGGTCAAGATACTTTGAGGTGGTGAAAGGATATGTGCTCCAAAGATGATAATACAGGATGGTTTTAAAACACGGTCAGGAAAAGATTGGCAATGGTATGATGGTGACTTTTTAGAATGATGTCTCGGTGTGGCAAGAGACTCTAAAATTGAGGTTTCCATGACTCTTTGGTTTCTGAGCAGAAAAATGGTAAGGTGGGGGAATGGGTGGCTACGCTGTGGGTATTTGGGAATGGAATTTGGAGTGGAGGAGGAATCTTTGTGTGGGAAAACGTATTGATGCATAAATTATGGGATGTCATCCAACATGTGGTGTTACCGGGGGTTGAGCACAGTTGGATTTAGGGACCAGATAAAAAAGGTGTTTTCACATTAAAATCTACTTTCGATCTGGTATCTAATGTGCAGGTGTCAGGACATAGTGTATCTATATTGAATACGTTTGTTTTTAAGCATATTTGGAAGAGTCCGGTCTCATCCAAGGTGAGGTAATTCTCGTGGAAACTGTTGTTGGATCGGATACCTTGTAAAGTGAACCTAGCTATGCGCAGAGCCTTACCTTCGACAGGATTGGTACTATGTCCGCCGTGTGATGATGAGCCGGAGACTGCTAGACATTTGTTTCTCCACTGTAAATTTACATCTAACAGTATAAGCTTAATTTAGCGTGCTGCTATTTGGTCAAATTGGAAGAATAGGAATGATAGAGTCTTCAATGATAAAGTGGTAACAGAGGCGGAGAGAGTGGAACATATAAAGGTTTCTTTGATATTTTTTCCTTAACCGTGTCTTTTGGAAGATTGAATTAGGATGCGGCTGCCGCTTTTGGATTCATAAGCAAACTTTTTGGGGGGTTCCAGCGTTTTCTTTTCCTGCTGGAGTATGGGACTGCAGTGTTGGTTTTGGGGCTGCATATTTCACTGTGTTGATACTGCAGGATTTTGGTGTTTTAAGTTCCTTGAGCTGGCTTTTGCTTGGAGCCTTGGTGTCTATGTTTTAAACTTTTAACCTAGTAATAGCCAACTGAAGGAACTTAAAGTTGAAATTGTTGAGAAATTGAACCTTCATTTTTTTCCAACCTCATTATTAGGCTTTTCCAATCTAATTTGAACAGTGTATGTGCTATGAATAGTTGAATAATATTATTACTTATTTAAATTTTAAAAGCATGTTTGTGTTAATATTTGTGGCTGGCCTAAGAAATTTCATGTCCTCCTATATATGATCATGTATATAGTGGCGTGGCCAATTTAGCACATGACCAACTGTTTCTGTTTTGTTTTTCTTGTTTTAAGGAGGGTTGAACTTGTGGATTGCTGTATTCATCATCCTACTCGCAATAGCTACTGCTTACTTCCTAAAAGTTGAAGGAATTGAAAAGTTATGGCTTCAAGATTACTAATCCAATGTAGAAATATTTACTGCTACCAAAACAGCTTACCTTTTAACATTTCCAATTTTGAGGAGGTTTCGGATGCTTTATAGTATTTTCATCATTCTGAATTGTTTTTATATTGGATATGGCACTGTCCCTTTATTGCACTGTAGATTGTATAATTTTGATACTAAATTGTTATGTGTATCTATATATACGCTTGTTCAGTCATGAGTTTAGTTGTTTTGGATATCATTATCTATATGTTTCATGTCATAACTTTATGTTTTCATATTCTTACTCTTTTTCCTAAATTACTTTTTTTACATACTCTTTTATTTCTCTTTCCGGCTTTTTGCGTAACTGTTTATAGTTATTTTGTTGAATGTGAAGCTTGATAAATTCGACTTCAAATAAATATTTAATCAATGCAATCATAAGATTTTAGATGAATTAATTGGTAACATGAGTATGTAAAGTAAATTGTGTTGAATTAAATTAGTTGAATAGAAAGTATAAATTGATACTAAATGTAAACAGATATTAAATAAATAATGTCCAATGAAATGTAAATGTAAAGTAGCTAAAATCAAGGATTTCAAAAATGTATTTTATGAAAAACAAGGGTTTGTTTGAATGTGCTTCAGATTGTAGTTTTTAAAATTATTAGTTTAACGTTTTGACGTTTTTTAATTTAATGTGTTTATTTAACAAATGTTACTTTTAAGTTCTTCAAACTATTCTGTTAGTATTTAGTACTTTTTATCACTCCTTTTGTTTCACAATAGGTGTTTTATTTGAAAATTTTCATACTTTTTAAGATAATGAATAATAGTGTTGATTTTAATAATAAAACAATGTTATTTATTAAAATAGTCATATTAATAATAAATAGTGAAGTAAATAATTTTATTAATAATAGATAATGGAGTAATAAATGATTTAAAATACAATAAATAAAGATGAGTTAGTGAAAAGAAATAATAAATATTATGAGAATTTTTTATGTCACCCTATATGTTTCTACCTCATCATGCGAAATTCTACAAAATGCCCTATGTCTTCGGAGATATATCTCCGAACACACCCTATTTTTGAGTAAACAATGACATATTCTAAGGATATATCTCTGAACCAATTTTAAACTTTAAACATACATAACATGTCACCTTAACCCATTTATATTTGATTTATTCTAGAGATGCATCTACAGGAATATTTCGGAGATACATCTCCGAAGTGTATCAGAACAGTTTTTTTTATAACGAACTGCGTATTTGTTTTCAGATGAAAATACAGACGTATAAATTAATAAAAGACTAATATTGAATATGTCGAAGATAATATAGCAATATAAAATAGTAAAATATCGTACTTCATGACATCCAAAATGTAATAAAAATGTCAGAAATAAAGTGCAAATTATAATACAACATCAAAATAATAACAGGCTAATATTGGGTAAGCCTGACAAAACCCGTCCTCTACCTTTTCTGTTTGTTCGCTCATTGATCCCCTCATTCTCCGGCGATTTCGCCGATACAACAGTGCCCCCTTGTGCCTCCGTCACTATGGCATTTTTAAGACTCGTCTGAAAGTAGATCCCTCGGGGAAGATACCCTTGTCAATGCCATCCTGCGCAATCTCAACTATGCGACGACATCGAGGCAAGACATCTTCAGTATGATCTAGCTGGGTCTGCTCCTCCTCTAGAATCTCCTGATGAGCCTGTCTCGGTGGATCTCCTGGAAAAATCTGCACCATGTACAGATGTGAGATCCTGAAGAATCACATGATGTATCCGTCGACGTAGCTCCAGTCGTTTGGCGCTATGGTAGCCCGAGCCTGAGGTGACTTTGAAATTAGGAAACATCTCCGCTATGTCTACGAGACAAGGAAGGAGGAACAGAGATAACATGGTGCCTGAGGATAGTCTGGGTGTACCCGAACTGCCGCCTGACGCGCCCCGGCAGATGAGAAGCAAGGATACGTGATCCGCATGCCAACCATCTAGAGTAGAGCTATGTCGTCAAATGGTCGCGTCTGACGGTGATCCACGTAGTTGTTGAAGTGAATGTCCTCGGTAACCAAACAATCAAGGTAGACCTTGAAAGGCTCGTTCATCCAGCAATGCGCCTGAAGTGCTGGAGGATCCAACCCTTAAACAAAAAGTAAAAAAATATTCAAAGGTCAAGAATTATCGAAAAAGCATGAACTGTAAATGACAAAAAAAAACATTAAGGATTAAGAATATTACCACTAGTAGTTTCACGCTGCCTGCGACCTACTTCGTCTTCCACCGACATCCATCTCTCAACTTCGAATATAGATAGGCCAGACAAGTCACCCTCTAGTTGTGCTCATGGATCCAAGTAAGATTAAAAAAGTACCGGAGATATTCAACATCAGTATAAGTGGCACTCGTGTCCACAAAAATGCAATTGCCAACAAATAAGAAAATATACCCTCAAAGCACCTGCTCAACATTACCATCAGCCTGCTGTGCAGCTAAAGATCTCATCTTCATATATCTCCTTCAGGAACTCAAACCCTAGCATGAGCGCCCTTGGTCATATCCACCTTCTCAGTCGCTTTCCTTGGATCATCCCCTAGATGTTTCAACCATCATTTCGACTGCCTCGTCTTTGGTCATCCTACCATGATCAGGAAATCTCCCCCTGACCAAAAGTTATAACAAACATGAGACATCATCCAGTGTAAATAGACATCTCACCATACGGGAGATGAAAAGAAGGACGTATCAAAATGACATCTCTCACAAATGCATTAAGCATATCATGGTTGACTAGAGTGTAGCCGGTCATGCATAGGGTTTTCAACCCATATAATGTCATAACCGACTGAAATCACTCCTCATCAAGCTGAGCTAAGCCAGTAATCTTCCTCCTCATGGTTCAGAAAATTTTAGGGATCACGCACCTGAAATTATCTAGAAATAATCAATGTCATCAATTTAAAGTGAATGTAAAAAATAAATCAAAAATCCAAATAATGTACCTCTCCATCCCAGATATGTATGGCAGTGTGGTTTGGATATAGAGAGTGTAGGAATATATCAGATGAACCTCCTCAAAATCCCTCTGGTTCAACAACCTAATCCTCCGGAGGTGGGACTAGATCATCAGTGGAAGGTAGCACTAGATCAGCAGAAGGTGGTACTGGTGTCTCCTGACGCCTGCAGAAGGATGTGAAGTGACGCTTCAACTGGTGAATCTCGTCTCTTACGAGAAGAAGAAAATGGAGTGGCCTGAGATGAAGGTGGAATGGCCTGAGATGAAGTGACCTGAGGTGAATGACGAACCACAGGAGTAGACTGTACCCCAGAAGTCGACGCCTCTACCTGATTTGAAGTACCTGCTGCCTTTGGAACCTGCTGACTCTGCTCCCTTCAAACGGATCCGTGTTTGGCAACCTGGCCATGTCTCAGTTTGTCAACTTTGTCAGCCATATACTTGTAAGGTAAACTACGGTGTATCATTAGTGCAAACAGACAACACAAACAAACAAAAAAATTATAAAGAAAAACAGACTATAGACTATTCCGGAGATACAATCTCCGGAAACACCATATACCAATTACGTTGAAACATTTCTGAGATGTATCTCCAAAAATTCCTAAAGTATATGAAAACGCTGAACTATTCTGGAGATGTATCTCAGAAAGTTCTGCAACTCTAAAGTCAC